TGGGCAAAAGATTCAGACACATCATTGAAGAATATATAGAGATGGCAAATTATACACCATGACTCAACAGTGTCAAATTAAAACCACAGTAAGATCCTACTACTCACCTATTAAAACCTCTAAAACCTAAAAACTGTTTATACCAAGTGTTGTCTAGAATACAGAGAACCTGGAAAGTTTATACAGTGTTGGTGGGAATATAAATTGTTACAACCACTTTGGAAAATCATTTGGCAGTTTCTTAAAAATATATATACCTAACGTATGACTCAGACATTCTACTCCTATTTACCCAAGAGAAATGAAAGCATAAATCTCTATAAAGACTTGTACACAGATGTTCATGGAAACTTTATTCATCATAGCCTAGAATTATTAATATCCATCAAAAGAACAAATTATGATATATTCATAAAATACAATACTACTCAGCAAATGATTTATTCATAAATGCTACAATATAGACAAATCACAAAATTACTATGCTGAGTGACAGAAGCCAGACCAAAAAAGGCTCATACAATATGATTTCATTTGCAGCAAACTGATCTTAAAGAAAGCAGATCAGTGGTCAGGTGATGGTGGGGTGGGGTGGGAGGCAAGGAGGATTAAGTAAGCATGGATGACAAAGAGGTACTACAAACTTTTGCAGGTGATGAATATGTTCATTATCTTGATTATGGTAATGGTTTCATGGCTGTATACATATGACAAAACTTATCAGATTGAATACTTTAAATATGTACAATTTATTGTATTTCAATTATACCTCAATAAAGATATTTAAAAATAAAAACCCTCCTGGGACATGATTCCCACTGTGTCTTCTGGTTTTAGTATTCTTTTTTTTTTGATATGGAGTCTTGCTCTTGTTGCCCAGGCTGGAGTGCAATGATACAATCTCCGCTCACTAAAACCTCTGCCTTCCAGGTTCAAGTGATTCTCTTGCCTCAGCCTCCCAAGTAGCTGGGATTACAGGTGCCAGTCACTATGCCTGGCTACTTTTGTATTTTTAGTAGAGACAGGGTTTCACCATGTTGGCCTGACTGGTCTTGAACTCTTGACCTCCAGTGATCCGCCTGCCTTGGCCTCCCAAAGTGCTGGGATTACAGGTGAGAGCTACCACGCCCAGCCAAGTATTCTTATACCCTTATCACATTACCAAAGGTTTTCCATGTTAACCCTACAAATTATTTATTTTTCTCAGGAATCACTTTAGCATCCATTAATAAATAAGTTTTTTCTATTTGCAAAGTTTTAAGAATTCAGTCAGCAATGAATACTTGTATTATTCAACAATAAAACTCATAGCTAACATGTATGTGGCAAAAGCATACTAAGGCTTTGTCCTTATGACTAAGTTAATTAAGTAGAATTACAGATTTTTAAATACTAAAACAGTGTATCATTTAAGGTGTTTAAATGTCTAAGACAGCTGATGGAGAAGAGCCAATGCAGTATCCCTTCTGGAGAGATTAAGATTTCCAAGGTCCTCAAAAATAGGTACAGAGTAGAATAAAGTTTAAAAAAAAAGCAAAGAGGGAAAAAATAATCTCTTCTCTTTTGACCACATACTTTGTCATTACTCCTAAAATACAAGGCTGTACTTGAAAATATCATGGTGCCAAAATGTCAGGAGGCAGGGGGGAAAGAATTACTTATTACACGCATTGTTTTAAAATGTTTATGCTTGGCTGAGTTTCAGGGTATTAAATGCATATATATCTCCCCAAAATGTAATACTAATAGGAGTTACTGGTAGTTATGCTTAGCACTTTCAGGGTCCCAAATGGACATAAATCTGGTCAAAATTCTCAGGTATTAAAGTGTTTATTCAGCATCTTCAAGATGAACAAAATTGCTACTATCTCTAAGGAAATTATAAAAAGAAAATTAACAAGTATAAGAAAAAAACCCAGGATTTTAAATGAAAAAAATACATGATAACAAGGGCACTATACATTAAGTTGCTATACACACATGAACACACACACACACACACACACACACACAAACACACATATTTTTTTTAAACCTCTTTTTTAAACCTGGTACAAGTTAAACAACATCTTTCTCATACCCACATGATTAAGTATGTATTCTGACAGGATATAAAGAAGATGAAACACAAGCTGGTGGGCCTCAGAATTAGAAACTCCAATGCAGGACCAGATCCCAAAAGCTATGTTTTCTACCACTTTTGTGAAATTTAGGAAACATTTACCTTGCAAAAGATATAAATGCTTTTCCTTTTAAGTATGCTAACTATTTGTACAGAAAATCACTATTGAGGCACAGGTCCACCAAGGCTATATTTACCTATAATTCACTGTAGTACATATAAAGTTCACTTGGAGGTTGGGAATGTGAAAAGTATAATGAACAAACAAGCTGAGCTGTGATTGTGAATTTCTTACTGCTAATTTTGAATGTCCAACTCACTCCTACAGATATTACACCTTATAATACATGACACACAAAAAAATATGTCAAACTTTGCTGTAGAGCTGTTAGGAGAATGCCAACATAGATACTGAAAATTTTAGGAACTTGTATTTAATACCCTATACATTTAAAAATAATTAAACATTTTAAATATGTGAACATAATTTTCAAAAAGTGATGCTGAGCACCTTTAAACACAATACTGATACATTGCGACTAAACATGCATTTAGATGACAATGAATCACTTTTTAAAGAGCTACTCATTTAAATACTTACATGAAAATACTGATAGCTCCAGTTTCTACCTAAAAACCAAAAGAGTATATAATTAGGGATTTAAACTTTTCTTCATGCTCTTGGTTTTTGTGGGGTTTTCTTTTGTTTTTTGGTTTGTTTGTGGAGAAGTTGCACTGTAACTTTCTGATTAAAAAACAGTATCAGAAGAGACTTTCACACAGAATGAAGTAAGAAAAATATTTTTTAACTATACCAAAGTCTGAATCCTCTGACATGTCTCATCCTCACAAGTAACTGACTGGAGTTTGTATATTAACAAGCATTTCTCCTTAGCAACTCAACATCAAAAAAGAAAGGAATGTCTCCAAAAGAATATAGTTCAATTGGTGAAATAGCTAATAAACCATTACCACTATTGAGAGGTGAAGATTTATTATTTAGAATCTTGAAAGAAAAGGATTCCATAAAAACTAGATATAATAAATGAAAAGAACATTACCTATTGTTCAACACTAAACTATAAATTAATCTGGACTTATCCCTTTTATGTACACACAGACTAAGAGAAATCTGGATTTGAGGTAACTAAGAGCTGTGTTTAACTTAGTATAAAATAATCAAATTTGGCAATCGGCCTCTATAAAATGCTGACATCAAATATTTTCAATTCTTAGGAAAATGAAAATTAATTTTTATTAAAAAATCATACATATAACTAAATATTAGCTTTGCATTAAATAGGGTATAAATAATAAACTTTATATTAAAAAAAATATAAATCTAAAGGGCAAGGAACATTAGAATTCCACCTACCTCTAATATAACAGTACTTTATATTTAGATACATGTCATGTACCTGAAACAAAGTGAATTAAGAATGGGAGGCTGGACTTAGAAAAGCCAAAAGTGACTCAAATTCATGTAAAGTATTAAGGTTAAATTTGATATTATATTGTGCATGCTCTGAATATTAACTATTAATATCCATTTAAAATCTTTATTTTTAAAATACAAAATATACCCACAAATGGTCTCTGGAGAAACAAAAGCCTTTAGGTTAATTTCCCAACAATTATAATTGATATTTCTAGTTTACCAATCTTTTTTCTTTTCTTTTTTTTTTTTTTTTTTTACAGAGTTTCTTCTCTTGTTGCCCAGGCTGAAGTGCAATGGTGTGATCTCAGCTCACTGCAACCTCCACCTCACAGGTTCAACCGATTCTTCTGCGTCAGCCTCCCAAGTAGATGGGATTATAGGCACCCGCCACCACATCCAGCTAATTTTTGTATTTTTAGTAGAGACTGGGTTTCACTGTGCTGGCCAGGCTGGTCTCAAACTCCTGATATCAGGTGATCCACCCGCCTCAGCCTCCCAAAGTGCTAGGATTACAGGCATGAGCCACCACATCCAGCCTAGTTTACCAATCTTTAGACAATAGGTACTTACAATGAATATACTGCTTAGTACTTATTTGGTATTTTAAATTAATATATACTTACTTAAAGAAAATATCCCAGAATAGTTATTTCAAAGTTTTAAATATAAACTAAATTTTAAACTATAAATACTTACCTTAAAATACTAGAAATCCTAATACCATCAATTCAGTAAGAGCTCTGGCACAGAAAAATGTAACTACAAATCAAATTCTTTTTTAACCAGAGCTGGATCTTCATTACAAAGTGAGAGGGAAAAAATCCTCTGCTGTCATCAAAAAGTTCCCCAATTTATCTGTAAACACCAAGGAATTCTATTAATCTTTCTCAATTCTCTCAATTTCTACATATTAATACCTATAGTGTTTTATTTCCAATATAGCACAAATCCATGCTACATATGTTGATTTCTGTTGCTTATCTGATTAATTCAAGTAAAAATTCTCAGTATTTACCAAGACACTTTAAATTTCTATTAGATAACCATTAGTATACTATTGGTTTGTAGTTAAAAGTACAAAAATTAGAAGGGAAGAGGCTAAAATGCAACTGCACAGTTTCCTTTCCACAGATGTAGCTGCTGCACTTTGTGTTACAATGTAAAATCTATTACTTTATCTTTCTTAATGAGATAGATTATAAACATTTTCTTACCTGTCTGCCAATTAAAAATTTCTTCACAACTTTAAAGAGAGAACAAGTTCTTTCAGAACTTAAAAAAATTCATGATATACATACACACATACAAACACATTCACACAATGTTTTTGTTGCTGTAGTTCTTTTCTGTCTTGTAAGAACCAAAATTGAGTATTTCCAAGGATAAGTTAAATAAACTATTTGTGTTCAGACTATATTACTATGGATAAGTTCAGGAGAGCTTTTGAAATACTGGCCTTATTAGATAATCAAAAAGCATAAAAATTATACAAAATAAGAGGAGTAAAACATCTCTTAAGGAAGGTAAAAATATGGAACTGGCAACAAATATATCTGTTTTAAATAAAAGCTTCTCATCAAACCAGTCTTCAGTCCAATTATCTCAATGCCACGCTTTGACAATATTCACCTTCTTTTCTAAGACATCAGAAGTCACCAGAGTTGTAAATTCTGAAAAGCTTCAATAATTTACATAGCAGATAATTTCTTACAGTCCAAATTATTTTTTGCTTCCATAGATAATGCTGGTTCTTTGGGTTCTTGCTTAACTGGGTTCACAGAAATGGTACTTTCTGGATTTTCTTCAACTTTAAAAACAAACAGAAAGTCCTAAAAGTTAATATATTTCATGACCCTGGGAGAGAGAGGAAAAATATTTTATATTCTAAAAATAACTTCTGTCAAGACTTTTGTTCTTCAAAGCAAACTGCAAATCTTTTCCCACAAAAGTGCCCAATCCAGAATAATTTGTGTGCAAAGAAGTGACAGATAAGGTAGGAGTTAACAGAGTTTACTTCTATGTTGACAGGGATTAATAATAAAGTTAATGTAACAAGGTCTTGGACTAAACCTAAATGCCCAAGTCTTACTAGTTCCCTTTCAACTCAACATTTAGTTTATAATTCAAAATCTTTCTTTTGTCTAGGTGCGGTGGCTCACTCCTGTAATCCCAGCACTTTGAGAGGCTGAGGTGGGAGGATTGTTTGAGGCCAGGAGTTTGAGACCAGCCTTGGCAACATAGTGAGGCCCTGTCTCTTAAAAAAAATAAAAATAAAAAATGTGCCCAGTATGGTGGTGTGTGCCTCTGGTCCCAGCTACCTGGGAGGCTGAGGTGGGAAGACTGCTTGAACCAAGGAGCTCAAGGCTGCAATGACCCCTGATTACATCATTGCACTCCAGCCTGGGTGACACAATGAGACTCTGTCTCAAAACAACAAAATACCAAAAATGAAAATTTTCCTTTTAGCCTTTATATATGCCTACTTCATTTCATTTTTCTTTGTGTATGTGTGCATACATCAATTCCTTCATAATAACCTTTGCATGAAAATATTTTTCTTTAATTTTTTCCTATTAATTTTTTTGTGTACTCTAAAATGACCTTCCTGGTTTCATATTACCATATAATTTTCCATGGAAAACAGGTAATTAGGGTATAAGTAATTTCTATAGCACTAAATAATTAGAAACAAAGAGAAGGAAAACATTTAAGTATAAAAGTTCTGAAACTCATGCGAATGAAATTTCCTCCTTCTCTCTCATAATTTTCCTTCATTTATATAATATCATATACCCTGGGTAGAAATAATAGTTTTATTTATAGTATAATACAGTGATGATACTACAAAGGTTACAACAATAACATCATAAATTGATTTCAACTTACTAAGAGCTGAGTGGTTGTCTATAATCCGTATTGGAATAGTCTGCACATCTCCCAACAGAATCTGATGAACAGTTCCTTCCAGATTCCCTGTATCCTCAACATCTCCAACGTCTACCAGCTGGTCCACTGCAACTAGATTTTGATCTGGTTCTGGGAGGTTACCCATGGTGGAGGCAGTACTATTGTTTTGGGTTAGGCATGTATCTCTTTGAAGGCTATGAGTTTGATCAAGCAGTAGAGAATTATTATTCATTACAGCACTTCCTATTGAATCCAGAAGTCCTGAAGGACTAGAGGATGGCTGGTTATTTAGTGATACCAGAGCTGGTGATTCATCAGGAGAGGTGAACCTTGGTTGTAACTGCAAATCCTTTTAAACCAAAAAGAGTTACATCAAACTATCTGAATTTACTATGTCTGATATTCTCATAGGATATATTATTCTTCTGACAAAAAATTGGAACAAATAAGAAGTATAGTTATAAATAAATATTAAATGAAGAAACAACAATCAAGGGAAAACAGTACAATTAAATTTATTGAATTCATAGTCAACCTTAAACTTTTAAAAAACATACTGCTTGTGTTATCTTAGATCAAGACACAAAAGGTCAAGAAATTAACAATGAAAACATATTTGATCATTATTATAATTGTTAATAATTCTCTAAAATCCATAGGAGAAGAAGAGGTGAACTGAGGAATAAAGAGAAGGACCTCAAATTAGGATATTTTACTGGATACCTACCTGTAGCTGTGTAAATATTTTGGGCTGAAATGAGGAGAGTGAGGAGAGCAAGTGGGTTGGCTCAGGAGACAAAGAACCCCCTGTCAGATTTGTTTCCATTTTGGTAGCAATTGATTCTTCTGGTGAATTTCCTAAATTATATTAAAAAAACTATTAAAACAAAGTAACTTTTATGGCTTCTATGAAGTCATAAAAATACTTTATTACAACCCTTTCTATAAGAACTAAAATAGGAAATAATTTTAAAGTTTTGCAAAGGACTTCAGTAAGTCATCTAGCCCAAGGGTCCCTGACCCGACCGGTCTGTGCCTTGTTAGGAACTGTGCTGCACAGCAGGAGGTAAGCATGGGGCAAGCAAGCCTTACTTCGTGAGCCAGTCTTACTGTGTTAGCTCCACCTTCTGTTAGATCAGCAAAGGCATTAGATTCTGGGATCTAGGTTGCATGCTTCTTATGAGAATCTAATGCCTGATGATCTGAGGTGGAAGTTTCATCCTGAAACTATACCCCCTCTCTCCACCCTGGGTCTGTGGAAAAATTGTGTTCCACAAAACTGGTCCTTGATGCCAAGAAGACTGGGGACTGCTGATGTAGCCCACTATTTCCAGAACCTGGCAGATCGTGAGAATCTCTAAGGTATGTTTAAGAAAATATAGATTCCTAGGTTTAACCTCCATTAATTTTAATTTGGCAGATCTAGGATAGGACTGTCCCTCCATATCCATGGGAGACTGGTTCCAGGACCCCCGTCAGAAATCAAAATCTGCAGATTCTCAGTTCCTGAAATAAAAGGGCATAGTAATGCATATAATCTAAGCATATCCTCCCACAAACTTTAAATCCTCTCTGGATTACCTATAATACACAATACAATGTATATTATAAAAGTCCTCCAATATACTTTAAATCATCTCTAGATTATCTGTAACAAGGAAAAAAATATGTGTACGTGTTTGGTACACATCCAATTAAAAATATATTTTTGATCAGTGGTTGGTTGAAGCCATGGATGCAGAACTCATAGATACAGAGGCAAAACTATATATCTCTATATCTATCTATCTATCTATTTTTTTTTTTCTTGAGACAGAGTCTTACTCTGTCCCCAGGTGCCAGGCTGCAGTGCAGTGGTGCAACCTTGGCTCACTGCAGCCTCCACCTCCTGGGTTCAAACAATTCTCCTGCCTCAGCCTCCTGAGTAGCTGGAACTATAGGCGTGTGCTACCATACCCAGCTAGTTTTTGTACTTTTTTAGTACAGACGGGGTTTCACCATGTTGGCCAGGATGGTCTCAATCTCTTGACCTTGTGATCCACCCACCTCGGCCTCCCAAAGTGCTGGGATTACAGGTGTGATATATATATATATATATATATATATATATATATATTACAGTATGGAGGATGGACTAGAGTTATAGATATAGTGATATATATCTATATATCTATATCTATAGATAAATATCTATATCTACATATATAGATATAGATATTTTCAAGGTAAAAAAATATATATATATAAAATATATATATATTTCAAGGTAAAAAAAAAAATATATATATATATATTTTTTTTTACCTTGAAAGACACTGTATCTGTAACTCTAGTCCATCCTCCATACTGTAATGCCGGACTATACCTAAACTTCTCTAGATGTGTGAAATCTATGGTGCTTCTCAATTATAAACATCAAACTTAATTCACCTTTTGTAGCCCTAGTAACTAGAACAATACCTGAAAAAATTGGTCTTCAATGATAACAGCATTAAATTTCTTTCAATAACTCATTTTGGTATAAATAAAAATTAAAACTCTGTTTTCTTAACACCTCAAATTTAAACTAATCATAGGGAATCTGAATCATTGTCATGTAATTCTTACACATTAACCCAAATATATTCATCTTTTTAAGTTAATGAAAAACTAGTTATCGGGCGGGTGAAGTGGCTCACGCTTGTAATCCCAGCACTTTGGGAGGCCAAGGCAGGTGGATCACTGGAGGCCAGGAGTTTGAGACCAGCCTGGACAACATGGTGAAACCTTGTCTCTAGTAAAAATACACAAATTAGCCAGGAGTGGTGGCATGTGCCTATAGTTCCAGCTACTTGGGAGACTAAGGTGGGAGGATCGCTGGAGCCCCGGAGGCAGAGGGTACAATGAGCAAGATCATGGCACTGCACTCAAGCATGGGTGACAGAGTGAAATCTTGTCTCAAAAAAGCAACAGAAACCCTAATTATCAATGAATATTTATTGCTTCCATAATACAAATGACTAATTTTAAAATGGCCATAGTATCAGAAAAGAAGGGATTTAAGCATTGGCTTTCTGTGTGACCTTCAATATGCTATATAACTCAGTTTCTATTTATTTTTGTAAGACAGTCTTTCTCTGTTGCCCAGGCTGGAGTGCAGTGGTGTGAACTCAACTCATTGCATCCTCTGCCTCCTGGGTTCAAGTGATTCTCCTGCCTCTGTCTCCTGAGTAGCTGGGGCTACAGGCATATGACACAATAACCAGCTACTTTCTGTATTTTTAGTAAAGACAGGGTTTTACCATGTTGACCAGGCTGGTCTTGTACTCCTGACCTCAGGTGATCCACCTGCCTCGGCCTCCCAAAGTGCTGGAATTAGAGGTGTGAGCCATCGCACCTGTCCTATATCTCAATTTCTAAGCTTCAGCTTTCTCATCTGTAAAATCAGCATAAGAGTCCTTTCTCGATGGACCACTGAGAGGATTAAACAGCACTTACACATTTCTTGGCTTCTTCATTATTAATGTCCTTTTACTTCATTGCTGTAGTCACCCACCACTATCATCATACTCTGGATGATCCTACCTCTAAAATCTCAAGTTTGAACATCTCATTCTCTGATCACAATCGCTTATTCTTATACATTTTTTATTTTTATTCTTTTTTTGAGACAGAGTCTTGCTCTGTCATACAGGCTAGAGTGCAGTGGCACGATCCCAGCTCACTGCAACCTTCGCCTCCAGGATTCAAGCGGTTCTCCTGCCTCAGTCTCCTGAGTAACTGGGATTACAGGTGCGTGCCACCACACCCAGCTAATTTTGTATTTTTAGTAGAGACAAGGTTTCACCATGTTGGCCAGGCTAATCTCAAATTCCTGACCTCAAATGATCTGCCTGCCTCGGCCTCCCAAAGGGCTGGGATTACAGGCGTGAGCCACCGAGCCCAGCTACAACCTCTTACTCTTCCAGAGATTTTGCTCCAGTACTTCACTACAATTGTTCTTCAACCTCATGTGAACCTCCAGTCAATTAATCCCTCAGTTTTCTTCAGATCCATCAACCTCTTTCTTAGTAAAATTATTTCCCCATCCAGCTTACGGTCTTGGGTCTACAATTTCAGTCACTCTTTACAAGTACCTAAACTCTCGTCTGTCTGTCCTTGGGTCATATCCCTCCAGTAAAACCCTGAATCTGGATGAAAATGGCTTCCTGCACCAATACATGGGAAGTCGAGTACCACTGAAAAAGAAACTCACTACTACCACTAATGCCAATTCACTACTAACTCTGATTGGGCCTTCACCTGTATCTAGCAATGTTTCACTCCCTATCCGGGATAATTTTTAATTTGCATTTCCCTCAAATCTATGGCACCCTTCTTGAAGACTTTCTTTATCTTTAGCACTCTTATTTAAAGAGAAAAGGGAAGCCAACAGAAGTTTCTTCAACTTCCCATCACCATCTTATCTATCTTTTCAGTTCTCTATTGTCTTAAAATATCTTCCCTCAACCCCATTCTCCATTGCAAAATTCCTGAAAAAGTGGTGCACTTTTCAAGGAGTCCCTACTCCTTCACTCATCTCCCATTCACCCTTCAATCACCCTAACATGGCTTCCTCCCAATCCACTCCATTGAAATGGCTCTGATACTTAACTTTACAAACCTATTTAGTCCTTTATTCTCTCTCCTGCCCTACCAATGCTCTCTTCTTTTGCCAGTGATGCTGAGCTCAGTAAATGCTATCAGTCAGTTGCTCACTATAGAAATTCAGAGGTTTGGCCAGGCATAGTGGCTCACGCCTATAATTCCAGCACTTTGGGAGGCCAAGGTGGGTAGATCACCTGAGGTCAGGAGTTTGAGATTGGCCTGGCCAGCATGACGAAACCCTGTCTCTACCAAAAATACAAAATTTAGCCAGACATAGTGGTGTGCGCCTGTAATCTCAGCTACTTGGGAGGCTGAGGCAGGAGAACCGTTTGAACCCAGAAGGCAAGGGTTGCAGTGAGTTGAGATCGTGCCACTGCACAATCTAGCCAAGGTGGTGGAGCAAGAGTCCATCTCAAAAACAAAAAAATAAATTCAGAGGTTTAACTTTATACAGGGGGTGAAGTTAAGAATGTACTTAAAAGAGACTACAATTTGAGTACTAAGAGGAGTTTGCCATGCAGAAAAGAAAAGACATTTCCAGAAAAGAGAACACAAGCAAAAGGGTGGAAATAAATTTAGAATATTGAAGGGGCACAGCAGTAAGAACACATGAGAAAAAGCAACCATAAAATGGACCATAGTTCCCAGATCAGGGCATCTTAGAGTTCTTACTACTGGAATTAGCCAGACTCATAATGAATTAGCTACAGTTAACTATGTTAGTTATCAGCTTCAAAATTTCAGTCATAAAAAAGGATTAAAAGCAAAGTATAAGAGGAAATTTAAATAGCAAGAAGTATGTTGATAAACCCTAACATAGCTGCTCCTACCTCTTTGGATCCTGGTTTCTTTATCTATAAAATTTGATTAGATGAGATAATATCTTAAGTTCCTTTCAGTTAAACACTGTTTAAATTTATATTTTAAAGGTATTCAAGTAAACCTACCTTCTGCAAATGTAACTGTCACGGTCTCTTTGAGAATATTCCCACTGTCTGTAGTCCACTGAAGCTGAAATGGGGATACTGATTTCAGTAAACATAAAGCTCTTATATTGAAAAATATCTTAAGACATCATTACAACTATCATATTTTATTCAGAGTATGTGATTTATTCTGCAACTACTCTCTTCACTTGTTCATATTCTCCAAGCACAAGTATACTTTACTATACAAATACACTAAATTCCTGAGTTCTGATAGCAAGAATTTGGACAGCAAATGTAGATGACAAGGACAGCTTCTAACACTTTGATACTTAAGATTTATGGGGTTGTGTACAGTGGTTCATGTCTGCAAGGCTTGGAAAGCCAAGGCTGGAGAAGTGCTTGAGGCCAGGAGTTTGAGACTAGCCTGGGCAACAAAGTGAGACTCTGTCTCTACAAAAAATTAAAAAATTAGCTGGCTGTGATAGCTGGTGCCTGTAGTCCCAGTTACCAGAAGGCTGAGGTGGGAGGACTGCTTGAGTCTGGGAGGTCATTGATGCAGTGAGCTGTGATCGTGCCACTGCATTCTACGTGGGTGATAGAGTGAAATTCTATCTCAACAAAAAAAGAAAAAAGACCAAGTAGAGAGTTGTGGGTTGCAAGAAATAGCTCTAGCTTTTGAAATATCCTTATTTATTCAGATGCTACATTTGGATAACAGAAGTTAAGAGAACAAAAGATATTGCACCTCAGATTTTAATGCCATAATCACTGCCTGCACTGTAATTAGTCATTTCTGGGTAATTATAGTAATCTCTTCAGAGTAGGCAAAATTTTCACAGAAGCGACTAACATTCAGGGAGAAACTACCATATCAAACTATGAGTTAACACCAGGCACACTGGCTCACACCTGTAATCCCAGCACTCTAGGAGGCCAAGGAGGGCAGATCACGTGAGGTCAGGAGTTCAAGCCTGGCCAACACGGTGAAACCTGCCTGGCCAGCATGGTGAAACCTGCCTGTTCACCAGCCTGGCCAACATGGTGAAACCCGCCTCTACTAAAAATACAAAACATTGGTTGGGCGTGGTGGCTCAGGCCTGTAATCCTAGCTACTTGGGAGGCTGAGGCAGGAGAATTGCTTAAACGTGGGAGATGGAGGTTGCAGTAAGCCAGGATCATGCCACTGCACTCCAGCCTGAGTGACAGAGAGAGACTCCATCTCAAAAAAAAAAGTGAGTTAAACTGATATCCACAGAGGGTATACAGAGCCAACATTATCACTTTGGGTAATCAGGTATGAACAACTGTATTTATTTATTTTTTTGAGACAGAGTTTCGCTCTTATTACTTAGGCTGGAGTGCAATGGCACAATCTCGGCTTATTGCAATCTCTGCCTCCTGGATTCAAGTGCTTCTCCTGCCTCAGCCTCCCGAGTAGCTAGGACTACAGGTGCCCACCACCACATCTGGCTAATTTTTGTATTTTTAGTAGAGATGGGATTTCACAGTGTGGGCCAGGCTGGTTTCAAACTCCTGACTTCAGGTGATCCACCTGTCTTGGCCTCCCAAAGTGCTAGGATTACTTAAAGGTGTGAGCCACCACACCTGGCCTACTATAGTTTCTCACATTGCAGTTATTCAGATAGCCTAATAGTAGCCATTCTTATTAATCTAAATATTAATAGAAGCTGATAAAGACTCTGTAATAAAATAAGGAATTGTGGTTGTAATCATACCGTTGCTGGAATAATCTCTGAGTTATATACCATATCTCCATTTCGCAATGATTTCTGTACCTCATGGATGTGATTTTTTATATCATTTACAGTTGGAAAAAAAGATAAGTTATGTCTTTCAGGTACCTCATCGGGTTTGAACAGTTCCCTTTCCACAAATTTTCTGTAAAAAATATAAAATGGAATAAAGACATAAACTATTTAGCAATATGCCTTTAGATCAAAAGAGAGAAAGGCTCTCTTTTAGTATAAACTCTTATAAAGTATGGTTTGGAGTTCTGTAAAAAATTTGTATTTTCCTACTTAAAATTTTTCCATACATTACATCATAGAATTAATGTAGACTATAGAAATGCAATATTTTCACTGGTAAAACAACTAGTATATTAGAGTGAGCTTTGATATTTTTATGGATTTAAATAAACCCATTATTTTCAGTTTAAGTATAATAATGTTTTTCATGCTTACTATGTCAGGCACTGTATGGAACACTTCACATCAAATATCTCCTTTAACCCTTAATGGTCAATGACATAGGTACAATTATCATTCCTACTGTACAGATGACAGACAGAACTGAGGGCTGTAGAAGTGAAATAATTTGCCCAAAATCATACACCTACTAGTATAAGAGAGCTCAGGCCTATACTCAGGTTATGTGCATAAACATCATGTTATACTGTTTCCAAAAGCATCAATTAATATTATATGAAATATGATGGGCTTGAATTTTACATGAAGACAAAGACATAAATAGAAGGCAGCACTGTTATTGAATTGTATAAAAAATAAATACATAAAAGAAATGAAAACATAACATATATATGCTTATTATATTTGGTGGACCAAATAGCAGAGCTGTATTATACTTCTCTTCTTAAGATTCAGGTTTAGTAATAGTGAATGGCTTTTCCAAATTTTTGCCTTATGCTAATGATGCCCCAGTGGAAATAAATATAAAATGTGTAAGAAAACTGCTAAATAGAAAAGTCATGTATTAGTTAGGAAATAATTCTAGAAATTATAGTAAGTTCTCAGTTAACATCATTGATAGGTTCCTGGAAACTGAGACCTTAAACGAAAGGACTTAAAACAAAACCAAATTATTTTTTCCAATGCTATAACAAAACGACACTGAACCAGGTGCAGTGGCTCACTCCTGGAATCCCAGCTATTTGGGAGGATCACTTGAGATCAGGACTTCAAGACTAGCTTGGGCAACATAGCAAGACCCCTGTCTCTTTTATAGGAAAAGTTGAAAAAAAAAAAAAAAAACAGAAAAGAAAAGGCGTTGAACAGAATGATATTACTCAAGGACCTGCTGTATTTCCTTTCACTTAAAGCAGCAGTTTTCAAGAACCTATTGATGACTTTAAGAGAGGACTTAGTATATTCAATTTGTTATTTAGATCAGATTACACAATAATCAGTAAGAGGAAGACTAAGTATCATAAATCACCATGGCAATGGGCATAGGCTATAGAGTTAGGCCTAAATTTAAGTTCTGCCACTCCCTCTTAAGCCAATTATGTAACCACTCTGAGATTCCAGTTTCTCATGTGTAGAACTGAGATAAATATACCAACTCTTAGTGGTGTCGTAAGACTAAATGAGATCGTACATGTAAAAAGCCTAGCACAGTACCTGGCACACATATAATAAATAATTATATAATTGCTTATGTAATTATTATTTTCTGAGGATCAAAAAACATAGACCAGAGTACTACAAATAAAATTTCACTAGACAAAGAACTATCCAAATTCTTGTGTTCTAATAATATTTAACTGCATTTCAAATAGTCTGAAATACGTATCTTGGTCTAGGTTTTAAAATCTTTGGTTCTACAAAGGTTTTTTTCTTTAAAAGTATTTATTAAATAATTCAATATACACATCATTTAGAAATAGTCCAATTTGCCAAATCCGAATATAGAATATATCAAGTGAGTAATTAGAAAGATAATAAACCATATTACACTATTGCTTGCCAAGCACATACTAGAAAAGTTTATAAATGATTATTTTAATATATTAATAAACTATATTCCTTATCTACCCTGATAGCATATATTTTGGAAAATATCTCCAATGTTCACTGTATTATTTAAAGCAACAAACAAAACTAAAAAATGTAAAAGAACGACGTGCTTCTGTTGTACCTTAGCTGTTTCCTTACTGCATATACTTGTTCTATTCCCTGTGATACTAATTCTTGAATCTTATGTGCTACTTGAGGATGTAAACGTGACGGTAATGCACAATTCTCATCTCTAACTGCAGTTTCCTCTTCTTCAAGAGCAGACACAGGAAAAGGAGAAGGTGACAAAGGGAGGCAGGGAGTCTCTAATTCATGATACTGATGAGCTTGCTGTGTAGGTAATTGTACATACCACCTGGTAAGAGAAAATATTTAAAATTACTAAAATTTAAACACTAAAATTATTTAATATTATTAAACCAAGGTAGGAATCATAATTACTTAGGTTAATACTCATAAAAATAATTAATCCTTTAAGAAAATTATATATGATTATTTCATATCAAATAAAATTTAAAATGATCTCTGCTTAACTCTTCTAAGTTCTGCTTTATCCAATTAAATTAAAATCTTTGTAAATATTTATGGACTTTCACTGTGGTCCTACAGTTGAGCTCCCTACAGGGATTTTAAGTATATATGAAAATGGCATTTTAAGTTTCATATTGTCTTGTTTTAGGTTCATGAGAAAAAAATTCATATTAGGTAAATTTTACCTCAAAATAAAGAGAAGACATTGTAAATCACTATCTTTTGAACTGTGTATTTTCCCATTCATCAAACGTTTGTCCCAAATTACAATTCTCTGTTACACCTACCATCCTTCCAACCAAAGAGTGTATATAATTTACAATAGAACCTGTCAAGATTGAGGTTTATGGTAGATTCTTCCCTCATAGGAGCTCAACAGGCTGCTTCTACAGCACTCCCAGCTCCTGTTGGCCAAGTAAGCAAAACAATTAACTAAAGGTGAATGAAGATCTCTTGGAGAGTCATATAAAAAAAAAAAAGTCGGTAGGAAAATGAACTCATCTGATAGGATACTGCTTTAATTGATATTTCTGTATAAAATTCTTACAATGACTGATATTGCCTACTTAAAAAGTATACACAATTGTAGGGTGCAGTGGCTCATGCCTGTAATCCGAGCACTTTGGAAGGCCGAGGTGGGTAGATCACCTGAGGTTGAGAGTTCAAGACCAGCCTGACCAACATGGAGAAACCCTATCTCTACTAAAAATACAAAATTAGCTGGGTGTGGTGGTGCATGCCTGTAATCCCAGCTACTTGGGAGGCTGAGGCAGGAGAATCATTTGAACCCAGAAGGCGGAGGTTACAGTGAGCCGAGATCACGCCATTGCACTTCAGCCTGGGCAACGAGAGAGAAACTCCGTCTCAAAAAAAAAAAAAAAAAAAAAAAATTGGCCGGGCGTGGTGGCTCATGCCTGTAATCCAAGCAACTTTGGAGGCCAAGGTGGGTGGATCACCTGAGGTCGGGAGTTCAAGACCAGCCTGACCAACATGGTGAAACCCCGTCTTTAAAAAAAATAATAATAATAAATTTTAAAAATAAAAAAAAAATTTTTAATTAAAAAAAAATTATACGAAATGTTCTTCAAACTGAAGGATCTAATTTTTTTTAGTGATATATTTGACTTTTATTGAAGGTTCTAATTATTGGCTCAATTTATTTTTCACATGCCTAAAAATTTTTTTAAAGATCACACAAAAACAATATACCATACCCTTAAATGCATTATACAATAATAAATTATTCACCTAGACTAACACAAAAGGAAGTATAAAAGAATGTTAATATTTCTTATTTAAAACCTAAAGCATAAAAGGAATAAAATGGAATTTTATTTAGGGCTTAGAATTCATTTCTGGCTGCCGTAAGTAATTAAAGATGAGCTTAAAAAAATGAGATGGCTGCAGTTTCTGCTTACAGTAAGTATCTAAATCAAGGTACTAAATATATAATAAAATGTATTAAATATGTCTTTGTCATTTTGAAAAAAAGCTTTCACATGGTATATAGTATATAGAGTATATGTTATACAGTATGGTATAATTCTTTGGTCTGAATTATCTACAACTTGTGGCTGATAAATTCAATGGCTTATACAGTGGCAAATCAATTTAATATTTGGGGAACTACTATTGATATCTCTACCTTACAAAACCATTACTTAATGAAATAATTGGAAAAGTGTAATTTCCCTTACAAAAGAATTCTTGGAAATTGAGCTAATTAATTTGTAAAATAAAAGAACTATACAAAGGTCATACCTAAGAACACCACCAGCATCTACCATGTTCTTCTTTAGCATGTTAAAGGCTTTCTCCTGCTCCATTCTGATAATTTTCTTGTCAATTTTGGGGTCTGTAGGAACTCTATATTCAGGAAACTTCTGTACCTTTTTAATGTAAATCCTTTATACAAGATAAAGAAGAATTTGTTTCATTATATTATAATCTCAAGAAAATCTACCTTATCAATCAAGTCTTAAGCTTAGAGAAAATTCAATTTATCTGGAAAGCATTCAGAGGCTTATCTAAAATATATGGCATATTCTCAGTTGCATTAACACTTAGCAAATTAAAAGTAAACATGATTTGAGTAAAAATATCTAACTACTTACAGGTTTTACCATTTTTTACCCTAGATTTGCCCCTTCTCTTCATTCTCTTGGAAGCCAAAATCATCTCATTCCTGGATTACTTTAATAGCCTCCATCCAGGCCTGTGCCTCCAATCTTTCATTACTTAAATCCACTCGATAATTCAATGTCACAATGATTCTTCACATTTATATTCCTCTGTTGAAGAATCTGCCTGCTCTTTAATTAAGTACAAATTTCTTGGCAGCATTCAAGGCATTATGTATGATTCTAATTTATTTATCTAATCTTCCGTTATATTACTTAAAATATAAAATTTCTTTTCCTGTAAAGTTCATCTTCTCAATGTTCCTCTCAATATTCCTCCTCAATGTTCCTAATGTAATACCAACCAGGTTAATTCTTCTGTAATTTTTTTTTTTTTTTTTTTTTGAGACAGAGTCTCACTCTGTCGCCCAGACCAAAGTGCAATGGTGCAATCTCATCTCACTGCAACCTTTGCCTCCCAGAGTCAAGCGATTCTCCTGCCTCAACCTCCCAAGTAGCTGGGATTACAGGCACGTGCTACCATGCCTAACTTTTTTTGTATTTTTAGTAGAGACAAAATTTCACTATGTTGGTCAGACTGGTCTCGAACTCCTGACTTCAAGTGATCCGCCATCCTCGGCCTCCCAAAGTGCTGGGATTATAGGCATGAGCCACCGCGCCCGGCCTCTGTAGCTTTATTTATATGGTTCTCCTAACCTACAATATCATCTCTCTAACTTTCTATCTACCCAAATTCAATTTAAACTTCAACATCCAGTTTAAATTGTACTTTCTTTACTGCCATGAATTTGTATGGATATATTCCTTCTTTAAAAACCTAAATAGGTAGTTAAATAATATATTTCACACTATATTCTATGCTATCATGTTGTCTACTAGTTTTTGTTTCCTGATCCATTCTCTGGGATTAAGTAAAATTTAATTCCTCTTTTGATTTCCTTCCTTCCTATGGCACCCAATGTAGTTTCTGGGCACAGAGTAGATACTCAAAAAGTACTTGCAGAATAATGGAAAATGAAATTATTTCTTTACATATAGAGGTTTTCTCCCAAGTTATACCTAAAGTTTTTATATTGCTTATGTTTAAGAAGCAACTGACAAGTTTCAAATGGAAAAAAAAAAAAGCAACTGAAAGTTTGTTTCACAGTCAGGTTTAAATATTACCTAAAGTTAATATTATAGAATTAAATATGATAAGCCTTGTTGTAAATGGGCTTTAAAAACTTCTTGAGAATGCTGAGGTATTTATCACATGAGATGTGATCTTAAAAGTGTTTCAAAGATCAGCTAAGTCCAACCACTACATACTACCTTTTAAATTTTTTATTTTACCTAATAGTTTAAAACACTTTCAATATATTTTAAAAGTCTTAAAATACTTTCAATGTCTAAAAAATTTAAGGATATTATAAAATCTTTCATTGGTTCACATTTTTCATTTTTATTCAGAGCAATGACTACTCTGTAGTCCTATCTAAAACTTACTATGTTGGTCTGATAATCTGCTGGTAAATTGATAAAATCGCTCTAAAAAGCAACTATGCAACACTTGCCAACATTTTTAAAAGATACAGCCTTTACCCTAGCAATTTCATTTCCAGGAATTTTTCCTACTGAAACATTTGTAGGAGTGCACAAATATGTACAATGTTAATAACTGCAGCTTTGTATAGCATTAATAAAGAATACTTTTCACAGCTTATGTGAATTAAATAATTCATCCATAAATGGAATATTATATGGCTATTAAAAAACAGTACTTTTATGTACATATATGGAGTCAGCTTTGAGATACTGAAAATGAAAAAAAAAGCAAAGTGTAAGTCATTACATTCACACTAGTATGTAGCATAATAGGTATTCAGATTGAGAATCTATGTGAATTCATATCAAGAAAAAAGGTACACTATTATCTAAGTTTAAGAAAAGAAAATATTAGTGAGCTTTACAGATTTTCAACAACATTGACAGGGGTAGAGGAGATCTCTATCTCTCTGCCATTATATGCATCCATATACACAGAATATCTTTGAAATATGACTCAAAAAACTAGTTAAGAGTTGTTGCTTTAAAGACACAACAAAAGGGGTAAGAGAAAACTTAGAATTCACTGTATACTTTTTGATAATGTATAAACCTAATAAAAAATATCTGTATTAGCTATTCAAAAATAAGTACTTAATAAAAAACAAACAAAAGAAAATAAAGCTTACCGAGCTGGACAAGTGGCTTTGTAGAGCTGACAAGACCTGCTTTCCTGCTCACTGATTTTTTTTAACTGGAAACCTTTTCTTCTTGGCCCATACTGACACTCCATTACCACAGCTCTACTCCCTGTGGGCCAAAACCAACTATTGATATTAATTCAAGTGTCCATCTATTCTAGACACTAGATTAAAAGTAACTTGGTGGTGGCAATGTCAAAATCTTTCAAGTACACAGCTTCAAGGAAAGAAAACATTAAGGTCTTATTAAGATGCACAAACATAAAAGTTTATTTTAAAATTTACCAAATGTACCATAATTATGGTAAGAAAATTAGTGAATATCACATTTACTGAATGTCTACTGGCATATAATTTTTTTTTTTTTTTCTGAGATGGAGTCTCACTCTGTCACCCAGGCTGGAGTGCAGTGGCACAATCTCGACTCAATGCAACCTCCACCTCCTGGGTTCAAGTGATTATCCTGCCTCAGCCTCCTGAGTAGCTGGGACTACAGGTGTGTGCCACTATGCTAGGCTAATTTTTCTATTTTTAGTAGAGATGGAGTTTTGCCATGTTAGCCAGGCTGGTTTTGAACTCCTGACCTCAAGTGATCCATCTGTGTTAGCCTCCCAAAGGGCTGCAATTAGACACATAAGCCACTGCACCCCCGCCTGACGTGGTTTTTATACCATTTTATAAACAGTGAGTAAATGTTACATTGAGTTAATAAATATTAATATCATTTAAATTTTCTTTCCTTTTATAATTATTTTCTTATTTTTATTTGGGCTGTTAATATAGCAACCAGCCCTAAGATAGCCTCCAGTAATCCATGCCCTCTAGTATTCATGTCCTTGAGTAATCCCCTCCCCTTAAACAAGGGCTAGACTTATTAACTTACATCTAATAAATATGGCAGAAGTGATAAGAAGTTATTTTTGATATTAGGTTATAAAAAGGCTGTAACTTCCATTTGGGTACTCTCTCTTGCCCTTCCTTGAATTGTTCTCTTTGGGTGTAATCAGCTGCCATATGGTAAGGGAGCTCTGTGGAAAGGCCCACATGACAAGGAATAAGGCCTGCTGACAGCCAAAAGAGTGAATCTGAAAGCAGACCCTCCCTCAGTCAAGTCATGAGATGACTGCAGCTTCAGCCAACACCTTAGTTGCAGTCTTGTGAAAGAACCTGAGGCAGAGCCACTTTGCTAAGTCACTCTTGGGTTCCTGATCCATAGAAACTGTGAGATAATAAATGTTTGTTGTTTTCAGCCACCAAGTTTGGAATAATTTGTTATACAGCAATAGATAATACAAATAAGTAGATGTGAAAATTATATAACTTAAGATTTTAAGTTTAATATCCTATGCTACTCTAGGATACAACAAACTTTTAAAATATAAAATAAAAACGACAATTACTAATAAAAATGTTAAGCTGACATTAAAATATAAAAACTTCTGTTTAAAAGACACCATAAGTAAATATAAAAGCAATAGTTTGAGAAATAGCATTTTATAACATATATAACACAGTAAGTCCCCATGCAGAATTACTATATAGACTACAAACAATCATAAATCATTAACAACCATTCAGAAAAATGGACAAAGGCTATGAATAGCCAAGTCGGAAGAAAAAAAAGGTAGTAAATGAACAAATAAAAAGATGTTCAACTTTATTAGTAAACAGGGAAATGCAAATTAAAACAATAGTAAAATACTATCTCATACTCCTCAGACTGGCAAAAATAAAAATATTTGACAATACCCTAAAACAACTGAATCCACTGATCAATCTGAACACCACAGAGAGACACACAGATGGCAATAAGTACACAGCACACCTAGGAGGTATTCTTGAAAAAATCAAACCTGTATTTAATCAAGGCTCTAGATCTGTTTACAGAAAATACAAGAGATAAAGAACAAAAACTACATCAAACAGATGGAATCGGCAAAACCCAACATATGACAAATATTATAGAACAAACTACCTAGAGGCAAAGAGGAGAGAAATCTCCAAATAAAAAGAAGTTTAAGAGATTTATTAACTAAATGCAAGCTGTGGACCCTGTTGGATTTGAATTTGAACAACCTCTGAAGGGGAAAAACTGTCAGATAAGTGGGAAAATGTAAACACTGAACATTTTATAACATTAAAAAGTTACTGTTAATTATCATATTAAGTGTGATAATGGAATTGTCATATACGTATGTTTGTGTACACACATATGCATACACACATATAAGGAGTCCTTATCTTTTAGAGATATATACTTTAGTATATACCATATACTTTAGTAATTACAGATGGAATGATATCTGAAAACGTGCTATAAAATCATCTAGGGAATGAGGAAGTGAAGGCATATGAGACAAGATGGACCATATACCGATAGTTGTTGAAGCTGGAAGATAGATACTGGGAGTCATGGGGTTTCTTATATTATTATCTCTACTTTGATTGACATGTAAAAATTTCCATAATGTAAAGATTTTTTGAGGCTAGGCACAGTGGCTCACGCCTGTAACACCAGCACTTTGGGAGGCTAAGGTGGGCAGACTACTTGAGTTTAGGAGTTCGAGACCAGCCTGGACGACATGGCAAAACCTTGTCCCTACAAAAAAACACAAAAATTAGCTGAGTGTGGTGGCACATGCCTGTAGTCCCAGCTACTCAGGAGGCTGAGGCATGAGGATCTCTTGAGCCAAGGAGGTTGAGACTGCAGTGAGCTGAGATTGCACCACTATATTCCAGACTAAGTGACAGAGTGAGTCAACCGCTTCAAAAAAAAAAAAAAAAAAAAAAAAAAAAAAAAAAAAAAAAAAAAAAAAAAAAAAAAAAGAAAAGAAAAGAAAAAAGATTTTTAAACAGCTGGCAATGTTAAGTCATGAGGTAAATGTGGAGAAATAAAATTTTCACATACTGCTGACAGGAGTGAATTGGTACAAATTGTCAAGCCCTTAAGTACAAATCTGAAATCCAAAAAGCTCAGAGAACATTTTTTTGGGACTCATTTGGTTATAACACCAGGCCTGAGCTGTGTGAGGCTATTTATAATCTTTATTCCTCTTAGTTCTTTTTATTTATTCCTCTTAGTCTTACGGACTAGTACCAGTCCATTGCCTGTTAGGAACCAGGCCACACAGCAGGAGATGAGCAGTGGGCAAGCCAGCAAAGCTTCATTTGTATTTACAGCTGCTCCCCATCACTTGCATTACCTCCTGAGCCCTGCCTCCTGTCAGATTAGTGGCAGCATTAGATTCTCATAGAAGCAAGAACCCTATTATGAACTGCACATGCACAGGATCTAGGTTGCACACTCCCTATGAGAATCTAATGCCTGATGATCTGTCACTGTCTCCAATCACCTCCAGCTGTGACCAGCTAGTTGCAGGAAAACAAGCTCAGGGATCCCACTGACTCTACATTCTAATGAGTTGTATAATTATTTCATTACATATTACAATGTAGTAATAATAGAAATAAAGTATACAATAAATGTAATGTGCTTGAATCATCTCCAAACCATCCTCCAACCCCCAGCTGGGTTCGTGGAAAAACTGTCTTCCACATAACAAGTCCCTGGTGCCAAAAAGATTAGGGACTGCTGGTCTATAGAATACCTGCTAGGAGTATTCCATAATGTTACCACATTACATTTTAAAAAATCAGAATTCTGAAATACACCTGGTCCAAAAAAATTTCAAAGGGATTCTGGACCTGTACAATCACTTTAGAGTACAATTTTAACATAATCTTGTAAAGATGAAATGGGCATAATTCACAACCAGCAATTCTACTTTAAGCATATACTCTAGAAAAACTAATCACAGCTTTTCATTAGAGTATGTATACTGTGGAAGTTTGACGACAGCATTCTTTGTAATAATGAAAAGTTGTAAACAACCTAAATGATCAATAGAAAAATAATTTGGTCACACACTGGAGTATTATACAATGATTAAACTGGATTAACTAGGATTTATAAATATCAATACCAACAGATGTAAAAAGATGTAAAAAAGAATAAGGGCGAGTAAAAAAATTTGCAAAGCAAGACCTACACGTTACTATTTATGCATTTTTAAAAAATCCAAAACAATAAAATACATTATTATAGATACAAATATGTAAGGTAAAGTATAAAAATATAGACTAGAAAGATAAACTGAAAATTCATGTGGTAGCTACCTATGGAATGTTAAGGAGATTAGACCTAGGATGGAAAAAAGGAAGGCTACAGGATTTCAAGTTTATTTTTTTTTTATTTATTAATTCTTTTTTTTAACACACAGGGTCTTACTCTGTCACCCAGGCTGGAGTGCAGTGGCATGACCACAGTTCACTGGGGCCTCAAACTCCAAGGGTCAAGTGATCCTTCCACCTCAGCCTCCCAAATAGCTGGGACCGCAGGCCCATGCCCCCATGTCCAGTTAATTTATTATTATTATTATTTTTTTTTTTTTTGAGACAGAGTCTCACTCTGTTGCCAGGCGCTAGGCTGGAGTGCAGTGGCACAATCTCGGCTCACTGCAACCTCCGCCTCCCCCATTCAAGCAATTCTCCTGCCTCAGCCTCCCGAGTAGCTGGGACTACAGGCGCACACCACCGTGCCCAGCTAGTTTTTGTATTTTTTTTTTAGTAGAGACGGGGTTTCACCATGTTGGCCAGGATAGTCTCGATCTCTTGACCTCGTGATCTGCCCGCCTTGGCCTCCCAAAGTGCTGGGATTACAGGCTTGAGCCACCGCGCCCGGCCCGAATTTATTATTTTTTTTGTAAACATGGGGTCTCCCTATTTTGCCCAGGTAGTTCTCAAACTCCTGGGCTCAAGCAGTCCCCTTGCCTTGGCCTCCTAAAGTACTGAGATTACAGGCGTGAGCCACCAATTTTAAAATAAACAAACAAACAAACCCAGCTCATTTATTTTTAATGTTGTTATTTCTTTTATAGACTACTGATGAAACTTAGGCAGAAGGGGTTACATTTATCTCATCTTCTCTTAAGCATTTATTTCTCATTAAACCTCAGAGGTCCAGGATGAAACCGCAACTCTTTCACCTAATTTGGTGCCCCCATAATCCTAAAATAAATTGCTTAGTTTTAGATTATTTGGGACTCTAGTCTAAGAGGTTTGCTTGAAACTCTACTCCCTTAGTAAGCACTAACCCACTGTCTAAGAATACTGTACATAACACACTTAATGCTTGAGAACTTTAGTATCAGAATTCTATAATAACTCCAGATTGTATGCAGTCAACTTCAGAGTTACAAGCTACACAAAATAGACACATATTTCTCCCACAATATAATTTAAGACAGAAGGCTAAAATATTTAAATTGAAGGGGAAAAAACACAGCTGATGTACATATTTAACATATTTAAAATTAAATTGCTCTTTTAATATTTTATCAATAGGTTTAACTACGATTTGAATATTTTATTTTTATTTTTCAATATATTAAAGAAGTCTTATTTATTCACTGATATATTAAAATGCAATCTTTAATTATATTTACTATAAGGTGTTTTTTAGTTTAATATACATTTTAATCAATTAGCATTCAATTGTCAGCTACCAAAATAAAAATGTATCACCTTAGAAAAATCACGTTTTTACAATGGACTATGGCTGCTGCTGAACCTTTTAAAATAATTCTTTAAAAAAGTACCTGCATTAACAAATGGGATTCCATCATATGGGACATACTGGGATTTCCACATCAAGCGTGTAGCAGGCTTGGCTGGACTTGGAGACTGACGGGTTCCCCAAACACTCTGTGTTTGCTGCTTGTGAAATGTTAGGACACTTTCTAATTCAGTCTCACTTACACAGTAGCCACGGTATGAATCTCCAATTTTCTGCATGTGGTAGAAATTAAACAAAATTACTAGCAAATACACTTCATTTTGCATAATAAATGTAATGAGACGGCTGTCCCAGATGGAAGACTCATCACCTTTCACAAGACAATGTCATTTGTTCCCTCAGATCAATGGTCTACTACAACCACTGGGTCTGATTTGAATTCAACCAGTATCATCAAATGGGTATTTTGTAGGTATTTGTTAGGGAATATAATGCCAAACTCATTGCCATACTATCTTTATCAACTTCTTGTTTGAGAGAAAGAATATTTAGAAAAGATAACTTACAAGAACATATAATGTATATCCATTATTTCTGATACTTAAAATTCTATCCTGGATCAAAGCAGATCAGCAAAAAACTAGCCACAAAGTGCTCATTCCCTGTGGGTTTCATTCCTTTAATGAAATGAATTTTTTTTTTTGGTGGAGTGCGGTGGGTGGGAGAAAGGAAAGAAGAAGGTAAGAAGGAAGGAGGGAGGTAAAGATGGAAGGAAGGAAAGAAGGAAGAGGAAGAAAATGCAGGCAGGTAGGAAGGAAGGAAGCCCTGAGATTAATTTTGATAGGATGCCATGCATCTATTAGAAACCAAATGAAAATTGTGATTGACTGACAAAAATGATGTAGATGAATTTGCTCATTATATTGACATTCTTCTTATAAAGATCCTTCTTTGAGGCCAGGCCCACTGGTGGCTCACACCTGTAATCCCAGCACTGTGGGAGGCTGAGGTGGGCAGATGACCTGAGGTCAGGAGTTTGAGACCAGCCTGGCCAATATGGCAAAACACGTCTCTACTAAAAATACAAAAATTAGCTGGATGAGGTGGCACTCGCCTGCAGTCCCAGCTACCTGGGAGGCTGAGGCACGAGGATCCCCTGAAACTGGATGGCAAAGGTTGCAGTGAGCTGAGATTGCGCCACTGTACTCCAGCCTGGGCAACAGAGCAAAGCATTGTCTAAATGTCTTTTTTTTTTT